TTGATGTGCAAGTGTGCACACATATGTGTATGGATACGTGGGCAGGTGTGAATGTGTGCCATTCTAATGTGTATCCTTTTTTTTTTTTTTTTTTTGGTATTAGGATTCAAACTCAGTACCTTGGTCTTCCCAGGCAGGCATTTGCACTACTAATCTATATTCCCAGCATAATGTGTATTCATTTGTGCCAGGAGACCTTACACTTTTTACTTTTGCATAGCTTTAAGTTTTTGACATCTGTCTCTTTTCTAACCACGTTTTCCGCTCAGTAATTTTTTATTGGTATATGTTTGCCGTGGATATAATCGCATTTGATTTGTGGAGTTGGCAGGTGTGTGTGTGTGTCTGTGTGTGAGTGTTTGCGTGTGTATCTGTGTGTGTGGAATTTTTCACCTTCTTTCTCTTTTTCTCCCCTGATCCTCATTTGCTTCCCCATCTCCTCTGTATTGTCTAGTATCTCTCCTTTATCATCACTCCAGTAGTTAATATTTCAGCTGTGTTCTTTCTGTTTTAAATCACTGTACCTTTTAAAACTAACATTTTGGGATTTATTTTTATATTCACTACCCCCAAACGGTTCATTTGCAAACTGAATGTTCCTGCTGTGTTTGTACTTGCCTAACACATCTCTTTGAGGACAGTTCTAATTCTTTAAAGTTCTTGGTTCTACTTTGCCATCAGTTCTGCTCCCTCTAGCACAACTACTCCCGTCTCTCCTCCTTTTCCTCACTCCTCCATTGCTCTGATCTGACACAGCTTATGCATACAGGTCATGACTATGCTGGTGCTACCTTCAATTTCCTAAACCAGTACAACTACCTGCCAGTGGTTCAACCCTAGATTCTCAGTTATTCAGGTGAGTTTGGGAGTGAGAAGTACATGTTCTATCTGTCCTGGTCCCTGAAGCATCATTGCAGCCATTCTGATTTCCACAGCTTCAGGCACAGAACTCATTCCTGGGCAGCTGTTTGCCATGGTAATGAAGGGCAAGTACACTGGTATTCCTCCCAGTAGCATATGTCCCAGGAACACAAATATGTCATAACATCTTAAAGTCAGTAACACCATTTCACACTTGAAAACTCCACTTTCAGTCTTAATAAAATTAAACAAGAAAGGAGGCACATTTTTCTTAATATATTTGTAAAGCAGATTCAGTGATGTCCAGTAGCTGTTTATGACAGGCGGAGCCTAGGGACAAGTTTGGAAGTCGATGTGGGCTACTCGTTCCCAACATCATCTGTGGTTATTGGGTCTTGATGATTTCATTTATCCACCCTTTAAATTTGCATAGGTTGGTGTACATGGCTGGATATCCAGGTAGGCCACAG